AGCCGCCGCCACTGCTAGTTCTCTCGCTGCAGCCGCCGCCGACGCCGTGTTTCGCAACGCGTGAACTTGACCTCATGGAAATGGGAAGATTGTTCGAGTGCCAAGGTAACCTCATGACCGGTTTATTGCATGCCATAGGCTGCCACAGAAGGCGGCCTGGGCCGGTCTTCTGCTGCTGAGCGACGAGGAGAGTAACGCACCCAAGTGTGGCTCAAAGCTATAAAAAGTACTGGCCACTTTTTTAAGACTGCAAAATGACATCAGGTGTGTGGAGTATGAAAATAGAGGATTTAGGTTTTGTGTCTCACACATTAAATGCAGCATAATCACACGGTAGTTAAAATGTCTGTTGTTCGAGGAAACTGGGAATTTTAAGGGACTCGCGCAACTGGAGGAAAGTGAAGTTCCTTAAAGTCTTCACCTTTTCCTTGTTAAATCGCACATTGTTTTTACCGTGGCACAATGACAAGACGATGTGTGAGGCAATGTGGGTGTCCTGTCGAGGCTCTGTTCAGTTTTCGATCCTTTCAAAAACTGTGCTGCACTAAACGAACGTTTCTAGACGTCTGGAAGGTAAAAGCTCCCATTTCTGCAAACTGTCTCTGAAAAACCACACAATTTAACCGGACAGGTCGGGGAGTTTTATAATGAAGTGAAGCCTCTGGGCCGGTTGAGCACAGCACGACAACACACCTAACACACATTGTTTGCCGTGTGCCGGGCGCTGCACGCACCCCGACGACGGCCCCTGCCGACCGAGACGCCTATCGATTGCCTCGCTGCCACGTCGTCTAAATTTGGCTGCATATGGCATAGTAGCCAAGTCTATCCAGTCTATCCGCGACAGTCATATTTACGGGCCATAAACCTTATAAAGCCTCTTGGACTGTCTGGTCTGATGGGAGACCCGAAAGGAGCCAAAAGCCCGGCTATCACTGTAAAAAGTAATAAAACCCACGTCGTACTTAAATTGTGTGTCAACTCTCTCCCTTCAACTTGTAATGGCAATTTTAGTTTCGAATTATATTTAAAACTGTGGCAGTAATCCAACAATGTTTATTTTACAGTGTTAGACAGCGGCGGCAGGTCGGCGCCCACGTGGGCTTTATACTTCTGGCTAACCGAAACCGAACGGGTCGAGTCCTCTCCGGACTGTCGCGAAGGGCAGTGTATTCGTGTGTGAGTGTGTGTGTTAGAGAGAGAGAGAGAGAGAGAGAGAGGGGGATATTTCCGTCGGCGCTCTATTTATACGATACCTGTCGGGGCCGGGCGGGGCGGTCGGTACGCCCTGCACGCCGCGCCGGCCGGCGGCGCTCGGGGGCCATGAGAGGGACTTGTCGTGGCGAGCCGCGATATATTTGCACCGGCTCTTGATAAATATGGAGATGGAAGCAGCAGCAGCA